AGAACAATACTACTATTGAAAACAGAGCTCATTAGTATACAGAGGGCAGTGCCACCACCGCCGCCATCGCCGCCGCCGCCACCGCCGCCGCCGCCGCCGCCGCCACCACCACCACCACCACCACCGCCACGACCATCATACAGTGCGTTGGGTGAGCGCGTAGCCATGGACTTTATTATAGTCCAGAAACGGCGGGACGGCCGCGAAAACGTGGTTCACGTCATCCGTGACGAATTTTCCGGCTGGTTGCGTGCTTACCCCATAGCAACAAGGGATACGGATTCAGTAGTTCACATTCTGTTGACTTTCCTAGGTCCTTCCTGCCATCAGCCCTGCGTCATGTGCAAGTCAGATCAGGCGCCTGAAATCGTTCCGGCTTGTAAGCGTCTAGGTTTTGCGCGTGAAGAGAGCCATATGAGACTAGGTTTCCGCGCAAGGCGCAATTGGAGAGGGATATTAGAACTGTAGAGGAGATATGGCAAAACTGTGTGAGCACCTCCAGTCTCCGGCGCGTTCAGTTTCTTTCGCAGCATGAATTATTCCCACACCCATGAAAGCGCCGAGGGCTCCTCTGCGGAGCAAACAAGATTTCATCCTGTAGAAATGCTTAAGGGTTCTCTGTCAGGCCCTGTAATCACCCCTCGCAGTTTTCAAACACGACTCAGCGATCCCTTTCGCGCGTGACCTTGTTACCCCAAACCTATAGACAGGTATAATTAGATGCGACGCCAACGCCGTAGACGCGGTTAGGTCTAACTGCGCCTGGTCAGACGAGTGTGCCACTCTCGTCAGCGAGTTGCGCAGCAAGGCCAGACAGACAGGCAGGATGAATCCCACAATATCCTTTTCTTCGAGGAGACGGCTACCACGCCGACTGCTCTGACCTCCGTTTCAACCTGTGGCGCTTGTGTCTTCAGGCGCGCCACGCCACATGCGCCGATGCGGTGCAGGCGTTCCTCCAGGCCCCGCTGGAAGAGGATACTTGGGTGATACTACCAGGGAGCTAGGGACTCAGTCCATGCGAAAGACTTCTGACACTTGTCCATGCAACTGCTCCACATGCTGCGGGTAAAGCAAGTCTACGGCGTCAAGAGACAACCTAGTGGAATTGACCCCTATCTCCTCAGCAACCTTGCTTAGGTTAGATTCAAGGCTGCAGGCGTACTCAAACAAGGTGTTACGGCCAGGAAGCTCTTTGGCAGTAGCGAATCTACGCGCTCTGTTCGTGGCTTTGGCTTGCCTGACCAACATCCCTAATCCTAGCAACCAGACCAGGCTCTAAAACCTCTAACTAGAACCCCCCTGACCCTTCTGAGGCGGAAGTGCCAGCAGGAGGAGGTGCTGATGGTGCTGGAGTTGAAGGGTTAGGAGTTGGCGGAACACCTTCTGACACGGATGGCGGAGGTTTAGAGGGTTTGCCCATTTTGTCTGCTCTCACAAGCGAGTTGAAGCGGGCGCGACAAAACGCAGTGTGGGACACTCCTTCAAATTTGTATGCTCGACAAGCCAAACTTTAACACTCTCTCCAGCGTACTGTAGGCGTTACTGGCTGGGGCCGAAGTAGCTCCATCTATTGATGCGAAAGGCAGGTCAAGTGGAAGAATGGTCTCAAGTTGAGCCTCCTTAAATGTAGCAGGGCTTGCTCACCAGCAGCTCGAAGAGGCAGGATGGGATCCTGACCCTCATCAACCCAAAGCTCTTCAGTCGGGACAGCTATGGGACGCTCGTTCTGCCAGGGGCTCTTGTCTTAAACGTTGGTAGTCCAAAACAAAGGAAACATTCTCGTAGGACTTAGGACCTGAGTCATACCAATATCCCGCAAACAAACCTGGCCTACTTGANNCTTGAAGCATCAAACTTACCTCGTTCAGACGGAGCAACCCGATGGTGTACAAGTTGTCTTAACAAAACCTTTCTACCGCCGAAATCCATGACATGTCGCTAGGCGGTGCCGAGTTTCTTACTTTCCAGCAGGGGCCTGGAACGCGCTCAAGACAGTGGTTACAATGTTGACACTGTGCACCCAAAGGTCTGGGATCATCTCGAATCCTGTGATCAAGCTAGAACCCGATGCTGAGATATCGTCCGCAGGCATCCACGTACTTGGCCGACTGCGTCGGATCCATAGGACCGATGACCACGCAGTCCTAACCTTGGACAAGGTTATCTGCGCGCAACAAGTGGTGGACCTCTGTGCGGAGTTAGCTGGCATCGATAAGGGTAACCTCAAAGTAGTTCCCAAGCCTTGTCTTGCTGACTGGGCAATGACCGAAGACGATTTACGTCCCGGAGTCATGCAGTCTTGTGCCGCCAGGGTCCTCACCAAGGCCCCCTGGCTCGCTAGACTCTCCAAACCCGACATATATTTTGTCGTCGCTCGGCTCGCCTCATTCGTCACTCGCTGGACGGTGTGGCGCGACAAGGTTCTCCATAGGCTCATTTCGTACCCGCGTTGCTCACTCCGGCCTTTGCGTTGCAGTAGCCAGTAGCCTACGACCAGCAGCCTTCTCTCCACGTGTACACCGATGCAGACTTCGGTTCATGCCTGTTTACAGCGAAATCAACCCCTGGCATCTTGATAGCAGTCGAGACAGGTGATATGCGGGTCCCTGTGTACTGGAGCTTGCAACATCTGCTGTGCTATGACGTTGCAACTGTCTACCATCACGACAACGAAGCAGTCATCCGAATCGTGGCTTCCGGCTACAGCGCCAAGTTGCGGCATTGTGGAGCGTGCCTTGTATCAATGTGGCATCCATGGCAGCACGGCTTGCAAACGACAACACAACAGCCGAATACTGCAACACGCATGAACAGATAGCTAATGGTTTCACAAAAGCTATCCCACTTTCAGAATATATCACATTCTCCAGCAGCTAGGCATGCAGTCTGTTAGCGCCCTTGCCGCAATCCGGCAAATGCAGACCAAGCTGAAGCGCTTGCTGGCATCCAGCCACAGCACCTCACAAACCAGCATGTCGTGCTGCTACTGTCGCTCTTGCTAAGAGATCCGATCTCAAGGGTGACCCTAGTGATGAGCACGCTCACGCCTTCACTGTAGGAGCATTTTTTCATGGTGGTGTTGTTGGCACTCGTGAAAAAACTTTCCAGATCCAACAGGTTGCAGCACTTCTCTGCAGGTTCGTGCAGCAGATCAAGCTAACACAGCCCTTCAGAATTGTGTCCTTGTTTCAGGGCATTGATGCTTCACTCCGCAGGGATTCCCACAGTCATCCTACTGTTCCTACTCTCCTGCTGCAGCTGTCCCCGGGCGAAGGTCAGATCTTGTGGGTGGAGTCACCTGATGGTCGTGTATCTTGTCCTAGAGAAAGCCGGGAATTGAAGGGGCGCCTGCTGAATAGTCCGGCTCTGTTTGATGCACACGGTGACATTGTAGCATCGTCAATCAAGACCTGGCTAAGAGGATTTTGCTTGTAGCCTTTTGTATTCGTAACACAAAGCATCTCACTGCAGAGCATTATCACGACCTGTGCAAGCCAGGGTTTAGACCACCGTAGGGCCTTACCTAGTCTTGAGTGACTTTGTACATAGTGCTTCGTGGCAGTGTTGTTGGCATTCCGCCTCGGCAGCGCCAATGCTCCCACCGAAGAGCGGGGAGTTGTAAATACACGCAGCTTGCAGTACAAAGTAGGTACCTAGATGTATGTCTGCTGAGCGCACTGTACAAAGGATTGTGCCCCGATTAACTTTGGCTCAAGGAAAAGGTAAACTTGCTGCTTGCTTGCTTTCCTTTGTTACACACTTGCTTGTTGTGTGTTCGACTACTTCTAGCCCCAGCATGAGACCCTTAGACCCTGCAAGCTTGGCACCCCAAACCACCTCAATCAAATCCTTGACGCCAATCCCCAAACCTATAGCTTGAAAGAGCCTCAGCTGATTGAAGCATCTTTATCGAAGCTTTAGCATCTAAGAGCATTAAGCGCCTCAGCACCAAAACCACGATCCTTGCCTTCGCACGTCTGGGCGGTTTGGCTGGTGTGTGTTTTGGTAAGATGGAGTGGGTTCAGGATGGGTTTGGACGGGGTGTGTTGATTTCGAAGGGCATAAGGTTGGCTTGGGGTGGGTACGATTTGGCTTGCTGCAGATCTGTGTGCCTTGGCCCAGGCCCGACCATGCCGGCTTCCACTCCCAGCCAGCAAGCTACCAAAGTTGTTGCTGATGTCGGATCCACCCACAAAAGCCAGCCTTGCAATACCCAAGTGGCCATGGCCACCAGAAGCAAACCCAAAAGCCTGGTTCGAATGTTGGCTGGCTTAACACCCGTCAAACGGAAGCTGTTTCTCGCATACCCCTCAGCATGATAGTTGTCAAGCCCAGAAACCTACCACGTGATCGCAAAATCAAGATCCTTGTAAGAATTGACTGCATATTCGGGTTTATTGGGAGCAACGGCAGCAAGACAGTGGCAGCGATGTCGCTGAGGCACAGCGTCATAAATCACGAGGACAGCAGAAAGGAAGTGGACAGTTGGAAACAACAAAAGTTGGAAGAAGTAACAGCTACAGCTAAGTCTAGGCGCTTCATTTTGATTCCTCCCACCCTAGGCTTGTCTGCCGTGGCTCTTGTGATCCTAGTGCTGGGCGCTGCCTGGAAAAGCCCAGCGCTGCTGCTGATCCTTGCCGTGCTATCAAGATTATCATGTAAAGTGGAAGTTTGCTGTGGGTTGACTTGCAGTAGCATGCAACAGTTTGCAATATGAGGACTGGGATGACCTCCTTCATTGCCGTCTTCTATAGCACCTGGGGCATCGGCTACTGGATAGTTGTTGTGGAGGTGCTCTCGGGAGTGCATGTGTCCATAGGGAACCATCTCAGAAGCATCTTCCAGAACAGGTCACCGCCGTGGGAGGACCTCGCTATGCTTCAGAAGCTTGGCGCAAAAGGACTCCGCGGTTTTGCAGGGCCTCTTGAAAGCCTCATTCCGCCTCTCCTTTGCCTCTCAGACATCTTTCTGCCCTCGACTCCCATCACGCGTCTTCTCGCTTTGAGTTTCGAAGTTCTGGATACGCCAGGAGACATTTGCAACATGTGTCATATGCGTTTGCATGCAGAGATTTGGAGTTGCGAGCTGACATTCAGGCAGCTCAGTCCCTGTCTACTGCCACGCTCTTTGCAGCTGGTTGGTTGACTTCTCTGACCTTCATGGATGCAGTCAGGCTGCAGTAGCGGAAGCATGGCCAATCATTCCCGCTGCAATATGCTTTGACATCAACCCGCCGGCATTTCCATTAAAAAATCGGCGTGCCAAGGTGATTTCATTGGGACCGGCAGCGTGCCTCTGCTGGGTTTTGTGAATGGCCAGCGAAGTAGCACACCTTGCCTCTTCTCGCCTCCTGCCTTGCTGCAGCCGCTGTATGCCATGTTGCAATGCTCGCACAGTACGTGGTGAACAGCTCGAAGAGGACTGACAGACCTGTCTGAGCATCTCAGGCTTCTGATTTACGCTGGCATCGCAGTCCTGATGTGCACCCTGATCGCAGAATTTCAGAGAAGGGAGCAGTTTCAAAGCATCAGCTGATTGGCCGTGTTGACTTGCAATCTACTCTGGACGCCACTGATTCAGTAGATGTTGCAGGTTGTTTTCTTATTCCCTGCCTCCTTCAACCTTACATCCCAGCGATCGGGTTGTAGGGGCTTCAGTGATCCCGCGGGTGCAAAGGGTGAGCAGTGTGCATGGAGACTGCTAGGAAGTTCTAAGCAAACGTCGCTGACATTTGCACGGACTGACACGCCCCAACCGCAAAACCACAACGCTAATCGTGACTGCATGTGCGACTGGAAGCAGATCTTGAGAAATTCTGAGGGCCCGGGAGGAGGTTCAAGTGCAGAAGATATTAGAGTGATGAAGTGCGATTCCATCAAGGCTTCCTACGATGTTCCAGGCAGTTTTCTGGTCTAGGTTGTTGGTGCACCCCAGATTTCGGTAACTGCTCCCCGCTGCAAGGGCTCGGCTTGTCACCCTCGTTTGATTTTCACGGGCATGTTGCCTACCAGCCTAAGCATGCTGCAGCAACCCCCAAGCTGACCGCTCGTGGCAGCCGGCTGTGTGATTTTAGCACGCCGCAATCAAAACAGCAGGGTTTGCTTTGAACACTGTCGCTAGCGCCCCACATGCCTCAGCTTGACATCCCAATGTCGTAGAGACCAATGTGGATGGCACAATGACGCATCAAGCACTGTAAGGCACCATGTCCGATAAGATCTCTCCGTGACATCTCTAAATTCAAAAAATTCTCACCATGGCATCGCAACACTCCGCGTGCATCCTGGTTGGATGGAATCCAACAATTTTGGCGCACAGTAAGGTAACCTTTGCAACAGAAAGATCCAGTCAGAAACAAGTAGCACTTCAACAAGTGCATCAACCCCACACTCCTGAACATCCAGAAGATGTTCTGAGCCCTGCGGCTGCCAAACTAGTCATTTGCGGAACTCAGACGGCGCCCTCGCCATCCTTCAGGGTCCCTAGACGAGCCAATCCAAGATTACGGAGGACAGGCACGACAGGGCTGAAATTTTGGCATTCGTATGCAGATGCCCCTATCAATTCAAACCAAGCCCCAGCTGCCCTGGGTTTTGCCTTGTGAGGGCTCCAGGGAAAATGCAGCCTTGTGAATGTAATCATGTTCCATCCGTAGCCTCAGTATGCTGAGGCGCATATGGATTCTGCGCTCTTCCCGAAACGCGGGGACATTCCTTGGAGGAGTTTCTCACATGTCATCCAGCAATGAGGGGTGCGTTGCCCTTGTCTAAACCGTTTGAGGAGTGCGCTGGTGATATCGTGCCAGAGGTGCCGGTGTGCATAGTATCGATTGGTAGCCAAGCATCCAAAACTCTGCCATGAGGACGAAGGGTGCATGACTTGTGGCACATCTGCAGGACTCTAGGTACAGTTCTACCTGGTTGGTGTGTGGCATGGTCATTTGTGTTGCAATCTCGTTAAAAGCTTGCCCTCACGAGGCTTCAACAGATGACGAGGAAGATGAAAGCGAGGCTGAATCAGAATTCTGATATCTAGTAGTCCAGTAGCGGTGAGAGCAATGCTTCACGCTGCCAAATTTTCCGCTGTGTGGTGCAAGATAAAAGAGGCGATTGTGGATGTGCATGCTGTGCTCCTGGGCAACAAAATCCCAGTCAAAGCGCATAGCAGCAATAATTTGCAGCGGTGCCCTGCACATGCGTGGTCACGCAGGTACTGAGGGTTGAGGCTGTGTCGTGGTTGTCTTCCCATTTGTTCCTGTTGCAGAAGTTAAGAAGTAGCAGTGGCGCCAACATGCCGCAATGCTTGTCAGCTAAGTAGTGGTCATGCCGGGTCCAGCAGACCTGTGACAGATCAGGTTCGTAGTACGTTCCCCAATTCTGATTCGACCGTTGCCCTTGTGCGTTCCGAGTCTTGTCAAATGAGGAAAGTGAGTCAAAGGCTGCAAGGTATGCACACAGCAAGAATTGGCTTGGCATTTAAAGCATGTCATACGATGTCATCCAGCCAGGTACCCACGAAGCGTCGTGACGGAGGCTGGACATAGTACTAGTAACGTCGTGCATTTCTTGAGTCAATGCACCAGGGCTGGTTTCGAATTCCTCAAGACTGTTTCATCAAGTGTGAGGCCGGAGTGAACGCAGCACGTGCGCCGCCGGCAGTGGTCAACGGTGCGCTGGGTTGAGCCAGTCCCAAGGTCTCAAGCACATGCAAGATAGGTGTGACTGTTACAGTTGCAGCTGGCGTGGTCCCTAACATCATGCTTGATGTTGAGCGAGTCAGGACATGAGGCAATGACGTGAGAAGTGTGGCTACAACCTTGTGCCCGAATGGTTTTGACAAATGGCAAAGCCTTCAAGTCTCCTGCGGAACCTGAGCGGACAGTTGGCAAATCATGTTGATATGCGTGAATACGGACATGGCCTACTCCCAGCAGGCATACAACTTAGTTGTACGGTCACTGACTGGTTTCCTGATTCCGTCATGTTTGTACATGTCACGCCTCAGCTAACCTAAAGGACTGGTGGCGCAGTGCCTTTCTGCACATGAAGAAAGATAGCTTACAGCATGGTTGCGAGAACCCGCGCGCAGGCGCACATCTTACTCGTGGTGCCCTCGGCCAGGTGCTTGGTCTTGCCATGTCTTGCCGTTTCTCACTCATATCATACCGTCCTGCAAGCAGTCGTTGCATTGTTGAAAGGTGTTTCTTTAGCTGGCACTGCTCGTCTTGCTCGGTCGCGGAGAATCCTTGCATCAGAGCAGCGCCTTGGGTTCAAGGTTCAGGTCTGGACTGAACGCTGCACCGGCTGCACAGCTTCAGAAGCCTGAAGAAGGGAGAACTTTAAACGACGCTAACACCCCGAAAGTACCCTTTTCAGCGCTCTGAAAGCTCAGCTCCAGCTTCAGCTCCGCTGCCCTTTTGCCTTGGCCTCTTCCGGCTAACATCGGCTAACACAAAAATCCCGCGACCGCCCTCAATGCAGAACCTTTCGACGAGACACCTGGACATCTGGGCCAGGGACCCTTTTGGCTGCTCAAAACGATGCTCGGTGCTCGCTTTTTGCAAATTCATGTCGCCACTTGCCGCGAAAACGAACACCAACAGCGTGCTCCTTCAGACTGTTGGTAATGCCAAAGAAGTTCAGTGCATAAGCCGCAAATGCCTCAAGCTCGAAAGTCGTGTGTGGAAAGATCAACTTTGCAAAATCATCTTATGAGCAGGTGGCAAGAAATCTTTCTCTGAACCCGAAAACTGAAAGGTCAAGCAGCCGTATAGTTGAGATTCGGCATCCTTAGTGTGCAGATTTAAAAGTGCTGCTTGCCGAAGCAAGGTCTCATTCTGTCCTACCACACCCTCCTGCAGCGCATTGCCGCAGATCCAGTGGAGGTGATGATTAGCGTGGAAAGCTTGAGCCTACAAAGGATTCACAAGTCTGACAGAGTGTGAAGGAGGCAAAGAGTAAACATAGTAAACAGTCCCCAACTTGTAGGACCTTGTAGGACAGGCACGAGATGGCACGAGGTCAAAATGAAGTGCCAACGACGTACATGTTTTTGAAGGAGAGCGTGTACATAGTGGCGGAGGATGATGCCGCCATGGCCTTACACATTATTCAACAGCCTGTTGCAGTTTTGGACCAAATCATCTTCAGATGTGCATAAGAATCTGCACTTGGTGTCCTTGCAGCTGGACAGATCTTCATTAAGCGGAGTGACCTGGTCTATCACGGCCGAGAGATTTCTGTCCTGCAGCCCAGGTCCTGCAAGATGATTTTATGAACAACTTACAGCTCTGCCTGGACGTGTGGAACCAAGCAAGCCGGATGGTCATGTGTACTCCAAATTAAAGGACCGGAGAACCTCACATGTGTAATTTAATCCGAATCTACGTGAGATAATGCTAGGATGCCGTCACCCGCCGAAATAAAAAAGGACAAGAAGCCGAGACGATAACTGGGAGATGATTCTCTGAAAAAGATTCTTATGGGGACGCCCCTTGCCATTTGAGATTTGTGGACTTGATTCTCTGAAGAATCTTCGGGGGACACCCCTTGCGATTTGAGATTTGGGGTTTGATTTCCTAGGGGTACACCCCTTGGAATTTGAGATTTGGGGACTTGATCCCCTGAAAAATGTCAGGGGGACACCCCTTGCGATTTGAGATTTGGGGATTTGATTCTCTGGAAAAGTCTTAGGGGGGCACCTCTTGCAATTTGAGATTAGGGGAGATGATTCTCGAAAAAATCCTAGGGGTACACCCCTTGGAATTTGAGATTTGGGGACATGATTCTCGAAAAAATCCTAGGGGAACACCCCTTGCGATATGAGATTTGGGGACTTGATTCTCTGAGAAAATCGTGGGGGGACCCCTCTCCGGTTTTACGGTTTCAGTGTTTGCCCCCTACCCTTCAAATTCTCCGCTTTTACGGTTAGACTGTTTGTCCCTTACCTTTCAAATTTTCCGCTCTGACGGTTAGACTGTTTCCCTCTTGCTCTTTAAAAATTCTCAGCTTTCACGATTAGAGTCCTCTTGCACTTCAAATTCTTCGCTTTCACGCTATTTTTTCCTCTTGCCGTGCAAAATCCTTACCCTTCAAATTCTCTGCTTTTACGGTTAGACTCTTTCCCTCTTGGTCTTCAAAGTTTTCCGATTTCGCGGTTAGACTGCTTCTTCAAATTCTCCACTTTCACGGTTAGACTGTTTGCCCCTTGCCCTTCAAATTCTCCGCTTTTACGGTTAGGCTGTTTGCCCCTTACCCTTCAAAATCTCCACTTTCACGGTTAGACTCTTTCCCTCGTGCTCTTCAAATTGTCCACTTTCACGGTTGGACTCTTGCCCTCTTGCTCTTCAAAATTTTCCGTTTTCACGGTTGGACTCTTTCCCTCTTGCTCTTCAAAATTTTCCGCTTTTACGGTTGGACTGTTTGCCCCTTACCCTTCAAATTCTCCGCTTTCATATTTAGACTGTTTGCTCCTTACCCTTCAAATTCTCCGTTTTCACGGTTAGACTATCTCCCTCTTGCTCTTCAAAATTCTCGGCTTTCACGGTTAGACTCTTTCCCTCTTGCTCTTCGAAAATTCTCCGCTTTTACGGTCAGACTGTTTGCCCCTTGCTCTTCAAAATTCTCCGCTTTTACGGTTCCACTGTTTGCCCCATTACCTTTTAAATTCTCTGCTCTGACAGTTAGACTCTTTCCCTCTTGCTCTTTAAAAATTCTCCGCATTTACTGTTAGGCTCTTTGCCCCTTACCCTTCAAATTCTTCGCTTTCACGGTTAGACTCTTTCACTCTTGCTCTTCAAATTCTGCGCTTTTACGGTTAGACTGTTTGCCTCTTGCACTTCAAATT